ACACGACGATGACGACGACTTTATTCGAAAATACACTCATTTATATATTGATTGTACATCCATTTTCATGAATAATTAGGATGAAATCATATATATAACAAATCACATCCTGAGCATAGTTCATGTCAATGGAATACAAGAATATCGTATATTATATTGAAGAAAATATTATAAGGCAAAAGGAAACAATTACTACAGGGAATGATCCTCATATTGAATTAGAAGGGAAGTAATGTTCAACAAAACTCATAATGAGTAAATCAAATCAAAAATTGACTTTTCTTCTCGTCATATCATCTGTTCACTGTCTTCTAGTGGTATTACTGTTGTTTACGGCATTGAGAGGACTAAAATCGAATGTTCGGCTCTTTAATCGGGTTAATGGTGTTGTAACGGGTGTGTGTGACTGCAGGTTTTTGATAAGCAGCGTTATTATTGATCGCGATCTGTGACAGTGACACGGAAAACATGTAAGGACGACCTAGTGCCCTGATAGGCCCTGCCTCGCTGTCTGTCCTAGCCAGTTGAGTCAAGAACACAAGTCACAGCCTCTGGGTTATGAATCATTGTATTTCAAACATACTCTATTTATATACCAAGCAAACAAACCACATCGTACCATAAAATAGGAAACAACATTTTGTACAATATTCAACAAGTGAACAAATATCGACCAATAGGAAATGTACATTTAAAGTCCAAGGACACCATTGAAATTAACATGATAATTATTGGTCTCTTTTTCCGACTATCCTAACACCTCCCCTTTTTCGAAAGATGCGGAGTTCATATCTGCGTTTTAAAATTTTCTGCGTCCGTCCTCCCCCGCGAAATAACGTTGGGTCCTCATATACCCAAGTAACAGTTAGTCTGATTCCATTTAAAGCATATTTCGCGCATTGAGTAGAGGGTTCACTAAAACTGACTAGATGATGAGGATTAGCGACACCAGACATGAGGTCATTAAGGCTTGATTCTTGTGAAACATATTCATCAGACCTCTTCAAAATTCTAGTGGGTAATAGGTCACTAAAATAGACAGCATCTTCGAAATTTGTATTTGATTTCTGACCATTATTTGATGCACGGGGAACATTTTCTGGCACGAGAGGTTCTTCTTGTAAGCTGGATACCTCACATGTTTCAGGCACAGTGGGATTTGAACCCACAACAGGGCATGCTTCTGAATTGGACAATTCTGGATCGCTGGACGGATCATGAGTGACTGTCTCGTTTGCATTACTGATCATAAGGGATTCATAGAGGCTTTTGTTTTCATCTTCATATGTCCTGCAGTCATTCTCGAGTTCAGTATGCAAGTGAGAAATTAATTCGTCAATCTCCTTCACATCTCCGAAACATGGGAGATTTAGCAGTCGCGTGCGTAAATTGTCCAAAACATTCAACTGGCTTTCTCTGAAACGCTGCTGCTGGCGATATAGTAGTAGCTGCAACTGATCGGGAAGGATATTCATTTTCTCAGTCAGCAGGGTAATGAGAAATACTGTAATCAATTAACAACCAATGATTCCCAAGGACGCCAATGATAAATCTGGATACTGATTGGTCAAAATAAATATGCTGAATCTCGTCCAATTAGAGGGTTCAAAATTTTTTCTACCCCGTCGCCAATTGTTGTAACGGGTGTGTGTGATTGCAGGTTTTTGATAAGCAGCGTTATTATTGACCGCGATCTGTGACAGTGACACGGAAAACATGTAAGGACGACCTAGTGCCCTGATAGGCCCTGCCTCGCTGTCTGTCCCAGTTAGTTGAGTCAAGAACACAAGTCACAACCTCTGGGTTATGAATCATTGTATTTCAAACATACTCTATTTATATACCAAGCAAACAAACCACATCGTACCATAAAATAGGAAACAACATTTGTACAATATTCAACAAGTGAACAAATATCGACCAATAGGAAATGTACATTTAAAGTCCAAGGACACCATTGAAATTAACATGATAATTATTGGTCTCTTTTTCCGACTATCCTAACACCTCCCCTTTTTCGAAAGATGCGGAGTTCATATCTGCGTTTTAAAATTTTCTGCGTCCGTCCTCCCCCGCGAAATAACGTTGGGTCCTCATATACCCAAGTAACAGTTAGTCTGATTCTATTTAAAGCATATTTCGCGCATTGAGTAGAGGGTTCACTAAAACTGACTAGATGATGAGGATTAGCGACACCAGACATGAGGTCATTAAGGCTTGATTCTTGTGAAACATATTCATCAGACCTCTTCAAAATTCTAGTGGGTAATAGGTCACTAAAATAGACAGCATCTTCGAAATTTGTATTTGATTTCTGACCATTATTTGATGCACGGGGAACATTTTCTGGCACGAGAGGTTCTTCTTGTAAGCTGGATACCTCACATGTTTCAGGCACAGTGGGATTTGAACCCACAACAGGGCATGCTTCTGAATTGGACAATTCTGGATCGCTGGACGGATCATGAGTGACTGTCTCGTTTGCATTACTGATCATAAGGGATTCATAGAGGCTTTTGTTTTCATCTTCATATGTCCTGCAGTCATTCTCGAGTTCAGTATGCAAGTGAGAAATTAATTCGTCAATCTCCTTCACATCTCCGAAACATGGGAGATTTAGCAGTCGCGTGCGTAAATTGTCCAAAACAGTCAACTGGCTTTCTCTGAAACGCTGCTGCTGGCGATATAGTAGTAGCTGCAACTGATCGGGAAGGATATTCATTTTCTCAGTCAGCAGGGTAATGAGAAATACTGTAATCAATTAACAACCAATGATTCCCAAGGACGCCAATGACAAATCTGGTTACTGATTGGTCAAAATAAATATGCTGAATCTCGTCCAATTAGAGGGTTCAAAATTTTTCTTACCCCGTCGCCAATTGTTGTAACGGGTGTGTGACTGCAGGTTTTTGATAAGCAGCGTTATTATTGATCGCGACCTGTGACAGTGACACGGAAAACATGTAAGGACGACCTAGTGCCCTGATAGGCCCTGCCTCGCTGTCTGTCCTAGCCAGTTGAGTCAAGAACACAAGTCACAGCCTCTGGGTTATGAATCATTGTATTTCAAACATACTCTATTTATATACCAAGCAAACAAACCACATCGTACCATAAAATAGGAAACAACATTTTGTACAATATTCAACAAGTGAACAAATATCGACCAATAGGAAATGTACATTTAAAGTCCAAGGACACCATTGAAATTAACATGATAATTATTGGTCTCTTTTTCCGACTACCCTAACAAATGGATAAGGAGAATTCATCTAAGGGTGTTGGAAAACCGTTATTCTAAAACAATCGGGAACATGAACTCCAAGAATCCTGAAGGAACAAATGGTGTATGAACCAATTATTGGTCACCGGCTACCATAGGACTGTATCTCCTGATTTGGCTTATGGATTAGACTTTTAAATCGAACGCTTCGGATGTAGCCTCCTAAAGAAAATCACCTATTTCGGTCTCGATACTTGGGCAGTATCACTTCACACACAAATCAAGTGACTTGTGTAGAGCCTATGTATTCAATACCCTTTTATACCCATATTTATGTATTGAAATAAATACATTAAGATAGATTGAAGGAATGATCAATTCTAGTTTGATTAACTTATTTCTTCTAATTACTAGTTAATTATTTAAACAAATTTATCACACCGTAATCTGACTCATCTATCACCGTTATTCTAACTGTCAATTGTCAATAATCATTGTTAATAGTTTGATTATGTTATATACTTCATATATGTCATATATGTCATATATGACACTAGATCTATCATACTATAAACTGAACATTCTCTTCTTAATATAACTAGGTGGAATAAGTATAGTAACTACTAAATAAAACTTAGTGATTCATGTGATATTGTTTTACTTAGTTGACGAGTCCTGAATAGGACGAAACATGCGTCCTAGATTCCATTGTTAGCCATTATCTATGTTTGCTTATAAAACTTAGAGATGTTTATAGACTGATCTATTTACATGTAAATATTCTTTCATGATATCAATTGACGAATGACAGTTTATGAATCATTCAAGTTGAAGAATGAATTCATTGATTCATGAATAATGTGATTACTTACTGAATTACTTACTTACGCCTGGTACTCCGAATCGAGGATAGCCTGCCGACAAGCATTCTCAGACCAACTGTCCTGGGCCTTCTTTTCTAGTTCCATCCAATTCTTGTTCATTTCTCTCATGTGTGTCTCCATTTCCCGGTGTAGTGTGTTCTTTGGTCTTCCTCTCCTCCTTCCAAGTGAGGGCTTGTCTTGTGACGCAGTTGGGTGCTTTCCTCAATATGTATTCTATCCACTTCCAGCACTTCTTTCTGATTTCTTCCTGCTCTGGGATCTGGTTTGTTCTCTCCAAACGCAAGTCGCAACCTCTGAGATATGAATCATTATATTTCAGACATACTCTGTTTACATACCAACCAAACAACCACATCGTACCATAAAATAGAAAACAACATTTACACAATATTTAACAAGTGAAATAAATATCGACCAATAGGGAGTGTACATTTAACGTCCAAGGACACCATTCGACTTAACACGATAATTATTGGTATATTTCCTCTGCATACCTAACATTTACTCGACGAGTTCTAGTACTTTTATTCACTTTTTCCGTTCATTTAGATGATAAATTCTATATATTAAAATGTAATGGTTACCATAGATTTTATTTCACTCCCTAAATTTTTACCATCATTATGGTTTTCATTTGAAATATGTCGGCTACATTGCACTAACATAATGATGATAGCAGAAAGTTGTGGATACCTTGAAACGCTTATAATGAAGTCCTTTTAATGATACTTACGCTCTGACATGTTGCAGTCGCGCACAAGTAAAACGTGAATGTTACGGAAAGTGCTAGATATATATCACACAGCGAAGAGTGTACAAGTTGCACATAACCTTGGTTTTTTTTCTTAAACTTGTTCGCGGTATCCATGCTCTTTTTCTTTTACTACAAACAGGTTCTCATTTCGAGGCATTTTGTAAGTCCTCCAGTAAACAGTCTTCGTCATCTGACCAACAATTTGAAAATGCAAATACCGATCATTGGATATCAGGATTTTTTGACTGGGGAACATGGCAAGAAACATTGTCATCATGGGCTGCCGGAGTTGTAACTGGTCGAGCACGTTTAGGTGGTATCCCATGTGGTGTTATCACAGCGGAGACAAGATCTGTTGTTTGCCGTGTACCTGCTGATCCGGCTAATTTATCCTCTGAAGCACAAATTGTTAATCAAGCTGGTCAAGTATGGTATCCTGATTCAGCGTATAAAACTGCACAAGCTATTGCTGACTTGTCACGTGAACATTTACCTTTATTCATTTTCGCCAACTGGCGAGGATTTTCTGGTGGGATGAAAGATATGTATGACCAAGTGAGCTGACTAACTGAGTCTTATTTATAATTATCGGTATACATCAATGACCCTACCTGTTATCAAACTCAGAACCTACAGGTCCCTTGATAATCGATTAACTTTCCGATCACTAAATCTGCGTCTAACGCTTTACATTCCTAAATTCTAAATCCATTTGTGATATTGCCCAATCATCTTTCAGCACCACTAGTCAGTCTATGAGGTTAACCATGTAATTCAATGATCTACATAAACCACCTGTAATCATAAGGAGGTATTTTTATTTTGACGAGCAATCACTGCACGTTGGTCATGTGTAATACATGTCCCAACGACTTCAGTCTGTAAAGATCCTCTATTTCGGCATACTTGAAAGTGTGAAATTTCCAGACATTATTAATGATGTGAAACTTAATAGACTACGCTGTTTGTGATGCAATTGTATACATATACTGTTGCTAATCTCCAGTCAAAAAGAAAAAGAACATTTTCTGCTCAAATATTCATAAGTTGATAAATATGATAAAAAAGTATAATATTTTTGAATGCTTAATGTGTTTGATCGAATGTTTGTTGATTGAAATCTTAAAAGTGTTATTAACTAATTGGTATTCTTAACTACTGTCCGTTGGTTAGTTACTTCGACTAATGGTTGGTTGAAGATAATCAGCAGGAAACCTTCCATCTTTGTCTTGAGCTAGGTAACAATAGTTATCAAGGCGTACCTGCAATTTTCAGAGGACTAACATTACTCGTAATGTTCGAACCCGCCTTACCTAATCTCACAGTCTGTGATGTCATCTTGAACAGCGACTGACCTCTCGTAGTACTAAGACTAACACATGTGATCATTGATTAACAACGAATGTCTTGTTTGTTTAACCCTCAGTAGTGATCGAATTTTCTTGATTAGTCAAAATGCGACTAATTACTAAGACTAGAGACCACATTTCAACTTGATCAATAGGTTTCGTTCAACACTAAGGAATAGACAAACAAGTTACTAACAATCAATTATCACTATGAATTGTTTTCACTGAATATTCTAACATAAGTTCAATACCAAAATCTTAAACCAAGGAAAGAAATACTTCTCTAGTGCTGCTTGCTCTCTTGGAATTTCAATCATTCATTAAACTATAATGTCAATTTTCAACAAAACCCCATAATATCATCTAAACTAATCATCATGGAATGTTTTTTTGAACCAGATTTTACAGTTTTTACATACTGAAACTATATTTTCCGGAAATTCATATGTAATCAACTCATTTCGCCCCCCCCCACACACACACCGTCTTTCTCTCTCTCTCTCTCTCTATTATCTTCAACCTCCATTACTCTTTGTAATCATTTAAATTAATTTAATTGCTATTTCATGTTTTATATTTTTATTTGGTGTTATTATGTAATAATATCCTGTTTTATTTCCCTATGTTCTCTGTTGTTGATAAGGTAAAAAAAAAGCAAGAAAAAAAAGTAGGTTGGAGCTGGGTTATTAATAATAATTCACAAACATGATTATTGTTATGGATGGTAATAGGGAGGATTTTAAGGAAATCTCTCATTCTATTGAATAACATTCATTGAATAGTATTTTAAATTTACCTTATTATGTTTTGTTTCATCTTTTTGTTGTTGTTGTTGTTATCTACCAGTTGCTCAGATTAATTACAGTGTAACTTGTTTTTATGTATATAAACATAAATCAAGTTCATAAAATATAGTGGTCTTGAGTGCTGTCAGAGGTATGAGGGCGGTTATTACTTCCCGGTGGCCCACACCGTGGAAAGGTTCTTCTGGAGGTACCTGAAAAGGAAATTGGATTAGAGGTGGTCTTAGTGACCTGAGAGAGTGACCGCAGTGCCCAAGGGACAACTGCTTGAGATCGGTCACACATAACCTTTTTATGAGTAATTTTTGTGTTAGCTCCGTAATTGTTGAGACCTTACCGCCGGAGACGGATATCCGTGGGATAAGGCGAGGTGTGCATTTTTAGGGTCGACCTTTTCTACCCCCCCCCACCCCTCCTTGTGGGAAGGCAGAATCGCTGTCATTTTGATTATCTGAAGGAAACACCTTACTACTGTCACACCTTTGTTGTACAGTCAGAAGTACGACTTGGCCTTCGGACCTTGAATTTGTTGCTTTTAGTGTTACCATTCTTTAACCGACCTGTCTGACATGGTAGGACGTTGAGGAACGGTTGTTTCAGCCAGTATAGCTCGATTGGCTCATAACGATAGGCAAGCCCGACGACCACGTCAACGTAGCAACCAATTGGATTATATCTCATTTCGCCTGTTTTAATAATTGGTATGCTTTAATATATGAATTGTTAAGCATATTAACTTGTTAGTGCCCTTTGAGGTCCTTTTCTTCCCCCTCCCCACGTAATCCTCTCATTTCTTTCTCTCCTTATTATTTTCGATTGCTTGTTTCCATTATTGTTCAACCAGTATTCTGTATTATAAACATTCATAACTAGATAATATTATTTTACGTTTGTTAAGTGTTCGACGGTTAATGGAGTTAAATTTTAGGTTCGAATCCTGTTTTACTTTTGTTCAATATTATTTTACAAATAATGCAACTGAATTCCGAACTACATGAGCGACGTAACACATATATAGATTTACATAGATTGAAAATTCATGATCGAGATATTGATATAAAATTCAAAATTTTATTTTTTAATATCTAACGTACCATAACATTCCATTAGTCATAGGACAAATGTTGATTTGAATATATATGAACTGTTGGCTTGCCTTGTTTTCGAATTCTCTGTTCTAACACCGCAGTAGCTAAGCGGTTCGAGTTGATTGGTTAGACGAAGTTATACATGATATGTACGCATTGGATTTAGATTAGATCGGGGTAACAAACTCGGTTGAATGAATCATTCTCCTTCACTTTGATGATACTCCCCATGAAGTCAGAATTCGTGTTACATTTGCTCTTAACATCCGCGATTAGTTAGCGTTTTCGAACTAAGATTTACAGTTGCACCTTACGAACTGACGTTAGTTAGACAGCCATCAAAAACTGGGGAGGGGGTGGACTAGACATCTAATTATTGTAGTACTGAACTATTCAGTTATCCACATCCAAAGAATCTTGTGATACGTTTTAACAGTTGTCCAGTAACTCTCCAATAGTTTCTTCAATAACGTTAGTCAGTTATGTAAATTTACTTAAATGAACAACACTAGACAATGCTTATTTTCATTACTTCTTTATATAGACAATCATGAAGAGAGATTAGTTGTTGCAATGATCGTATTGATTTATTCATCATACTTGAAAAAACCTTTCCTTGAAACTAAAGCCAAATCAGAATTTGAGTCATTTATGTGGTTTCATCTATTCTTCAATCAGTACTTTTTGTTCAATTTCTGTTGATACACATTATTAACTTATATTACTTTTTAAGGTATTAAAATTTGGTTCAATGATTATTGATTCATTACGTCGTTACACTAAACCAGTTTTTGTCTATCTTCCACCAAATTCACAATTACGTGGTGGTGCTTGGGTTGTAGTAGATCCAGCAATTAATCCAGATTTTATGGAAATGTACGCTGATCCAATATCATCACGAGCTGGTGTTCTTGAACCTGAGGGTACAGTTGAAATTAAATATCGACAAAAAGATTTAATTGATACTATTAATCGATTAGATGATTCATGTAAATTATTATTAAAAGAATTAAATCATTTAAATGAGCATACAAACAATTTGTCAATGAATAATGATCCAGAATACAGTACAAAATTATTGAATATTTCCATAGAAGAACATCGTCAACAACTTCGTACTGCATTAGAATCTAGACAACAAGAATTATTACCATTTTATCAACAGGTTAGTTGTGTTTTAATTTTCATCGAAATATTTCTTGTAACTTTTATTTAAAACATTGAAATAAATTTTATATCTATCTAACATATATTGCTGGCGTCTGCTGGGATCACCAGGTAAGTACTAGTGAGGCTACACACAGGGTATTAGGGAATGATAGTAAATCAGTTGATGAGGTTGTGAATCTTCATCGACTGAGATGGTTGGGTCACGTGTTACGTGTATGCCTGAACACCGATTACCACGACGTGCAATACTAACCGGTGTTGGGGATGGTTAGAAGAAAGTTACGGGTGGCCAAACCAGAACGTTGCATCAGTACTTGAAGTCACTAACTTCTATTTTGAGCCATGTTGATAGATGCAGACTACTTGGTTGGGGTCCGCGTGACTATCGTAATCAATGGTTGGAGACTGTGGATGACATGGCTCAGAGTCGATCACAATGGCGTCGGTGTATACATTCTTTGTCTTCCTTTAAACCATGAGATTAAAATCGCTTCATATCTTTCCTTCTACGAATTCATTCTTTCTTCTTGTACTATATCTTTATATGCAATCTTTCGTTTATATATCACTACCATCATTAAATTAACTACTTTTAAGAATCCGTTGTTCATCTTGTTGTGTTATTGTGAGGTATGGCAACTTGGACCGATGCATATATGTGCCTGGTCCTACATTGTAGCTGACTGACTGACTGACTGTATTATATATTGCTTAATTTTTACAGGTCATTGAAGGTTATCTTCTGATCTTTCTATAATTAACGTAAACACTTAAAAACAAAAAAAGAAGGTATCAGAAAAATTGTAATGATTATATGATTGTGAATGAATATAAAAATGGGAAAAATATGACCAAATAAATCAATAAAATAAATAACAAGATAACCAACCCATCAGTGATAGATGATAGTAAAACTCATCAAAGAATTTAAAAAAAAACTTACCGGGTTTCCCTAGATAATAAAGTAAATTAAGACTGAAACTTACTTATACAATATAAACTTATTCTTTTATGATATATATATAGGGGGGGGCTGGGAGGGGGATGAGGGGGGGGAATTATGTAATAAGATTGGTTGTTTTAATTAATTTTGACACTAAGGTTAATTCATTGAATGTTTTTTTTCTGTTTTGCTTTTTCTTCTCTTTTTGGGTCATTCAATAAAATACTTTCATGTATTATTCAATAATCTATTCACAGTTGCATTGTATTTGACAAAGATTCGGTTAGTCAGTCAGTCAGTCAGTTAATCAATCAGTGATAAAGATACATTAGCCTAAATGTAAAATCAGGTTAAGTTTAAGATTAATTATTATAGAAAGGGGAACAGTAATCATTTTTCTGTTTACTTCTTTCTTTCTTTCTTTCTTTCATGTAGTAAGTGAATTATACTTACTTACTTACTCCTGTTACTCCTAATGGAGCATAGGCCGCCGACCAGCATTCTCCAACCCACTCTGTCCTCCACCTTTTTTTCTAGTTCCATCCAATTCTTGTTTATTTCTCTCATGTCTATTTCCATTTCTCGGCGTAATGTGTTCTTTGGTCTTCCTCTTCTCCTTTGGCCTTGAGGATTTCATGGGAGGACTTGACTTGTGACGCAGTTGGGTGCTTTCCTCAATGTGTGTCCTATCCACTTCCAACGCTTCTTCCTGATTTCTTCCTCCACTGGTTTGTTCTGGTTTGTTCTCTCCCATAGCAGGTTTTTGCTAATAGTGTCCTGCTAACGGATCCGAAGTATTTTGCGTAGACAACTGTTAATAAACACCTGTATTTTCTGGATGATGGCTTTCGTAATTGTCCAAGTTTCCACCCCATACAGTAGAACTGTTTTGACATTTGTAGTGAAAATCCTGACCTTGGTGTTGGTTGACAGTTGCTTTGAGTTCCAGATGTCTTTCAGTTGTGGATGTGGTGCTCTCGCCTTTCCGATCCGCCCCTTCACGTCTGCATCAGATTCACCGTGTTCATCAATGATGCTGCCCAAATATGTAAAGGTTTTTACATTTTCCAAATCTTCTCCGTCAACTGTGATTAGATTGGTGCATTCCGTGTTGTACTGGAGAATCTTTCTTTTCCCTTCGTGTATATTGAGACCTACTGCTGCTGGAGCTGCTGCTACACTGATCGTCTTCTCTTGCATTTGTTGTTGCGTTTAGGATAGGAGGGCCAGATCATCTACGAAGTGTAGATTATCCAACTGCATCCTAGATATCCACTGTATGCTGTGCTTCCCTTCAGATGTTGACGTCTTCATGTTCCAGTCTATCACCAGGAGAAAGAGAAAGGTTGAGAGTAAGCAACCTTGCCTGACACCGGTCTTTACTTCGAACGAGTTTGTGAGCTGTCCTCCATGCACGATTTTGCAGTTTGATCAAGGAAGCTCCCATAGTGTTGTTCTGTCCACGCTATCAAATGCTTTTTCGTAGTCAATGAAGTTGATGTAGAGTAATGAATTTCATTCAATTGATTGTTCCACAATGATCCGTAGAGTTGCGATTTGGTCTATACACGATCTATTCTTACGGAATCCTGCCTGTTGGTCTCGTAGTTGGGTATTTTTGTATAATTATGAATTTACGTTATTATTGTTTGTTTGTTTGTTTTTATTTTATTTTATTTTCCTGTTATTTCATATTTTCATTATGTTTTCTATTTTTTATCATTATGAAGGTGGCTTGTAAATTTGCTGATTTACATGATACACCTGGTCGTTTATTGGCTAGAAAACTTGTTCATCGATTAGTCGATTGGTCATCTAGTCGTAGTTTTTTTTATACACGTCTTAGACGTCGTCTTTTAGAATTATCCGCATTGAATCTTATCAATGGTGTATTATCAAATAGTTCTGATCAATATCCAATTGATATGAAGTACACTACCACTAATCATAATGTGCCAGTTTTAAATTTTAATTGTGAGACTAATAAAAGTAAAGAGATTTCATTAAAAGAAGAAGAGGAGATGGTGTCTAAACAATCATCAGTTAGTAGTAAGTCTTCTTTTATTTCATTTTCTTATTTAACCACAAAGTGTTTATTCAACTAATCTTTTTTTTTTACAGCCATATTGTATCATTAATTAGTGTGATGTGATATCTCACCAGCATCCCCTCATGATCAACAGATTAACTTGAAACGATTTTAGTTAGTTGGAAAATGACATAGAGTCTTGTACTCAAATTTTTTGTTTATCCCTAAAATGTCGATTCAGCACATCTGTAGATTTTTTGTCGTTCACCGTCTAATCTCAAGATTCAAATTTATATCGTCCAATAGTTCAGTTGGTCAGTTAGTCATACTTAACGCGAACACTAGCACATGTGTATATACGTTCAAGTTACTATGTCAACTCACATAACTTATTCTAGCTTCTGGATAGGTGAATTTATCTATTCTTTTTGAGTCACATTTTGACTTTGTCAATTATTCACTTATCAACCCTGATTGTTTTTATGTAACCGTATTTGTGTTTATTTCTTATCTTATTCATCACATGTCTGTAACTTATTTATTTTTGTTCGCCTGTAAATATCGACTAACGTTTGATTAAATCAAGTTGGCTCATCTGCCATCTCCACCGCGTGTCATTTCGCTTCGATTACTTCTTTTCGCTCCCTTTACTTAGTCCATCTGATTGTCTTTTAGTGGCTCGGGATGTGACTCCAGTCATATCGTATGATTGATTGTTATTGAAATATACTTATCGTTTTAGCTAAGGAACATTGTTAGCTTACATAACATAAGATATGTACATTAAAATCTCCAACATGTAGATCGTAGCACTATTTGTGGATACCATCAGATGGACTGTAGTAATTAGAATCGATGGCTCTTGGTTGCGAAGCTGTAAGGGAAAATTTGTTGCTGGGTGGTAGAAGTAATACTAGGAATTGATGAAGTTGTTTGATTGTAAATAAGAAAACCTCTAGTGTTGTTAGACGTATAAAGAAAGTTGTCAGTTCTATGCAACCTACTTTGTGAAAGGGTATTTCTTCCTGATTTGTCGGAAAAACAAATAAATCCAATCAATAGTGTTACAACTAATATAGTTTGTTTAAATTCGAAGCCATTTAAGTTACAGTTTAGTAACACTTCTGTGATATTTCTTGATAACTTGCTTGAAAATCATAAATGCAACATGGTTTGAAGTTGGTTGGCTTGTCATAGATATACTTATCCTTCATCTCCAATTACATCTTTACGTCTTAGCAACAGTTCTACTTTTAATCTACATTTTTTGTAAGTTCTAATTGAACTTTATCTCTAGTTGTTTAACTCCGTATCATCCATTAAGATTAGTATTATTAATACTCTCAATGTACCCAGGACAGGGTTGGACAGAGAATGCTGGTGAGCAGCCTATGCTTCTTCACGAGGAGTAACAGGCGTAAGTAAAAGTAAATACTCTCAATGTGTTAATGTTAATTATTAGAAGTCGTTGTCTTTAATCAATCAATAAATTCTATTATTCGTGTATTTAGCAATATTTCTCTTTTGTTTTTTTTTTGTTTTTCTTATCAGAACTTCTACGTGTTGAAAGTAACCATAGAATACGTTTTGATTCAGAAAGTTTGACGCAAACTGTTACAACTAATGATCTACCTAATAATTCCGATGGAAGATATTCACTTTCTACAACTACCTTGAAGTCTACCGTTTGCAATAGAGAAGATGTTGCTAATATAATTGCTAAACAAGTTCCTAATTTAGGTATGTCAATGATTTATTGGAAGATGGTCGCGCAATTTCGTGGATTAGTTGATGTTAGACACTATCACCGTTGGATGTCGGCTCAGTGGTCCAGTAGGTTAAGCGTTCGCGGGCGAGATCGAAGGCCCTGGGTTCGAATCCCGCGAGCGGGATCGTGGATGTGCACTGTTGAGGGGTCCCACAATAGGACGAAACCGTTGTCCAGTACGTTCAGGTTTCCAAAGGTGGTCTAACATCAATCGGTTCATCATCTCAATCAAAAACTTAATAATCTCCACAACCCCCATATTAATATTTAGTTTCAGTCGGTATGATTGAAAATTTTGATTTCTTGTTTAAGATCAAATTGATCGCATCATTTTGATGATCTAGAATTACGGATCTTTTTAATTGTTACTTTTATATGATGTAATAATTATTGAGATACTTTGACGAGGGGAGGGAAACTCATCACCATATGTGAGATGGACCTTGATTTATCAAGGTTGAGGAAACTCAAGATAAAAATGGAGGCTAAACCTTATTCTTCTATAATGCAGAACTCCGTTTTTCTTCTTAATCCACTTACTTATTGGCTCATCCGTTAGACAGATTCATCGTCTAACGCCATTTGTATTAATGACTAATGACGTTGACACCATGATCAATAATCCGATTTGAAATAGATTAGGTTATCCCGTCTTCAATATTTTGACTGAAATTCGATCGTGATGAGAAGCGGAGGCAGCTCATTGCAAAGATCTTGATAGGTAGCGAATACAAAAGAGATGGAAACGGTAGGCTACTGTTAAGGCTTGTCAAGGAGACAAGTGAGACAGTCTTGGAAAAAGATGAAACTGTGATTTATTCTCAATCTAGGTAATAGGCCCGATGGTCAGAACACTTTAGGGAACATTTCAACTAGCCTTCAGCCACATTTCAGTTACCCAACATCTCCAAGTAACCCGAATGACAAGTTGATACTTTATCAGGACTTTTATGCGTCAAGACCTGGACAAATGGTAGGGAGAGAAGTAATTGAGTGTATTTGATAACATTTCGGCACGGATTCAGAAGATGTGACTGCGTTTTGCTAACTCGCGTCACGTTAAGCGTAGAGGAGATACCTACCTATCGAGCACAGGATGAGCGTACTGAGTATCAGTCCTCTCCGTTTTACTTTATCTCTGTGAAAAATGACGATCAAGACTACAGAATGTTTGTTGTTTACTAGTATTCGATCATAGGTATCTTCGAAGCATTGGTCGTACATTTATGGATAGTAGAGTTAGCAATTTAAAGTTGGATGCAAAGTACCATATAAGGATGGGAAAACGATTGACAAGATAGGGAACCTTTATCGACTGAGATGGTTACTAAGTGTATAACGTATGCCGGGTGATTCTGTCTTTTGTAGGAGTGTGTTGGAAGAAAACTAGGGGCGACCAGACTAAGACATGGCATCAGTTCATGAAGTCATTGTTAGTTGGACTGAGCCATGCGAATAGAATGATGATTATTGCATGTTTTGGGGGTTCGGTGGATTATCGTCACCATTAGTTAAGACTAAATGGCACTGCTCCAAATGTTTTGGAATGTCTCGCGTAGATTCACTCCTTGTCTTTTCCAATAGCCTCAGTTTCTAAATCCATTATGAATTGTTTTCGATTCACTAATTTGTATTTTCTTTTCGAATGGTATCTTTAATGCTCAATTTTTTCCAGTGCCACTAGCACAGTTACTACTTCTGCTACGCTAGAATTTCTACTAACAGTTTCATCTCACTATGCAAACGGGTCAACTTATAGCGTTGTACATATTTACAATTTCCTACTTTGCTTCTTACCTAGTGAATTTGTATAGTCTAGATGTTAGTTAGTTCACAATGAAAGTCAGCTCAATTCTGTCTTCCTTTTTAGAGCCTGTCGTTTGCTTGATTAAATTAAACCGTTTATTATTACTGAAGGTTTCTAAGTTCCATCGCTAACTGAGTAATGGTTTCTCTTTGTTGTGATTTTTTTAGACTTCGTTCAAACATTCATTAAGTGCTCTCTTCTTTTAATAGTTGATGATGCAATCACAAAACGTTTTTGTCTTGTGGACTGTTATATTGTGTTGTCTGCAAAAATATAAATAATGTATGATTGAGAATCAAGGCTTCGCTCCCGTGGAAGTCCTACTCCCTACCTTCTCGCAGCATTACTGTTGTGTAGGAAATTGAGAAGACAAAATACAAATATCTGACGCTTTAACCGGATTGATGGACACTGAGAGTCCACCTAGGGAAGTTGGAAAACCCTGATTCCTCCAAACCAATGGTGTATATAGGCTCCAGTATCATGAATGAACAAATAGCGTATCAATCAATCGTTGGTCACCGGACTGCATCCACTTCACCTTGTGGTTTAGACCTTTAAGTCAAAGGCTCTGAGTGTTGTCGCTCTCTAAGAAAACTACTTGATTCGGTTTTTGGTACCTAAGTAGTAGTATCTCAGCCCTCATATAAATCGAATGATTTATATGGCATATATTTATTTATGTTTGATGCCTTCTTATACTAATATTTATATCAGAAAAGGGTTTTATGGAGATTTTACAAATTTCACTGGTTGAAATCATAAAGCTAGACCACCATGAAAAACCTGGGAGCACTGGGCGGCCATTTCGTGCTGTTGTGGGACTCCCCAACAGTGTTCATCCACCATCCCGTTCTCCGTCGAGAATCGAATCCAGGATCTATCCATCTTGCTCCAGGCGCTTAATCAACTAGACCATTGAGCTGGCCGACATCCAACGGTTGTCTAGCTTCAATTGACTCATGATTTCAACCAATCATATTTATATGTTTAAATCAATAATTTGTTTCCTCTTTTTTTTATTTATTTTTGTTAGCTATTCGTTACACCTATCCTACTGATTATAAAATGTCTCTATTAAAAGAATGGTTTATTGAAGCATTGAATAATACTCATTCTAATACAAATGATTATGATATATGGGATAATAATGATTTACTTATTGGTAATTGGTTAGCTAATGAATTAAATTGTAATGAATTACATGAATTAGCAACGATTGAAACAATTGAAGAATTATATTCTACAGATCTATTCATTCATTGTCTTTCATTTACTTCAGTGAATCATTTCCATAGAAACAATCATAATATTAATTTACAATTATTTAATAAAAATATTATTCAAACAAAAATTCAACAATTACGTCAAGTATATTTTATGGAACATATGAAACAGTAAGTTCAATCTATTATTGTATATGATTATAGATTACACTTAGTATTAAGATGATTGATTTGTGAAAGGGGTAGTCAACACGCATATTCTAGATCTGAATGTTGTGTTATTGAGTACTCCATCAACAAAATGTATCCGGGATCTAGGGTTTTTGTGTTGACTACCACCTCTAGCACAATGTCAAATCATCTAGACTAGTGACTATATTGTAAGTTGGTCAATAGACCAAGTTTCTCGTCCTTTTATCCGTCTATCAATAAAAGGACGAGTATACTGCGCGGCAATTCGTTCTGTTTTAATTTACTTACGGCAGTGAAACATGGCTATTAAGAGTAGAAGATACTCATACGTATGCCTGAACACCGATTACCACGACGTGCAATGCTAACCGGTGTTGGAGATGATTGGAAGAAAGTTAGAAGCGGCCAAACCAAAACGTGGCATCAGTGGTTGAAGCCACTAACTTCTAGTCTGAGCCATGTTGGAGTCCGCTTGACTATCGTAACCAATGGTTGGAGACTGTGGATGACATGGCTAAGAATCAATCAGAATGGCGTCGGTGTATACACTCTCCGTCTTTAAACCATGAGATTAAAATCGCTTCATATCTTCATTTCTACGAACTAATTCTTTCTTTCTGTACCATATCCTTATATGCAATCTTTCTTTTATATATTACGACCATTGAGTTAACTACCATGAATCAGGTGTTCGTCTTGCTATGCTAATGAGGTATGGCAACTTGGACCGATGCATATATGTGCCTGGTCCTACGTTGTAGCTGACTGAACTTGGTCGATAGCATTCGATCTGCACTAAGGATTTAACACATATGCTATTATTGATCACTATTCACTATTCAATCAAATGTGATCACTTATACTTGTAAATGAATCGATCATTAATTTATAATCGATACTTTGTCCGATCGAAAGTGTCTGTGTTAGTTGCTAAGTAAATGGACGACCTTTGAACGAATCTTAAGTGAACTTGAGAAATATTAGCCAAACAGCAAACAGTCAGTATAGAGTAAAAATATATTATATAAAACCAAGGAAATAAAGTGGATACACTTCTTATATGTGGTTCAAAAACTTGTCAAGGTTAGAAAGAGGTTCAGAGGTCCTAAAATCATAATGCATGCAGTAGAGGAAATCATCCATATATTAAATTGTACAAAAACCAAACTATCTAAATAGGTCTCATTTCAGTGTTATTATGCCTTATACGGTCGTAACCAGTGAAGTTCAGCTGCATTATGCATCAGTTCGATATCACCTATACAATGGATAATGCTAACTCGATGACCAAATGGTAACATTTTGTCTAGTAGTTCTCATCGGTTTCAATAGTTGTCTACCTAAATTTAGTCCAATCAAATAATCTTCGCATATCTCTTTCGATGATAACTAATTGTTTTTTTGTTTTTGTTTTATTTTTATTTATTTTAACACATAGATATTGGTACAAGAGGGCACCAAATACATATGCGCCACAAAAATCTCATTCGATACTTGTGAGAGCTGTAATACTGCTCGGGTGCCCAGACCGAAGCAGGTGGTGTTCTTTAGGGGCCACACTACAAGCCTTTGACCTAAAGGTCTAACCCACAAGGCAGTGGAGCAACATCAGAAGATGCAGTCCCATGGTAGCCGGTCACCAACAATTAATTCATACGCCATTTGTTCTCTCAGGATACTGGAGCACATGTGCACCATTGATTTGGGATCCGGTTAAAGTGCCGGACATTCACTTTTCATCCTCTCATTTTCGTAAACAACAGTAATGTCACAAGAAGGCAATGAGTAGGACTTCCCTGACAGTGATTGTATGCACGTGGCCATGTGAGAGCATTTGGAGAGGGAGAGCGGACTCTCCCCTCTCTCGGCCGTACCAGGGCATTTGGGGGCTTATGTCTTTTTACACTCCCGTCTAACAACTAGGTTCATCATAATAAATCTTTTTTGTTTTCATTAGATTTCTTTGTTTCTACACTTTTTGTTTTGTTTGTTTTATTTTAGATCCCTTATTCATAGTTCACAATTATCATCGAATGAATTAACTACATTATTTCAAACTGTACTCACTTCATCTGAACGTTATCATTTGGCTAAACTTCTTTTATCAGATTCTACACTAAAAATGGATGATCATATTAACAATAATCATAATGATGATAATAAACAAAATGTAAATGATTGAAAAATCAATAACTCTCCTTTATTACATCATAAAAAGGATCATTGATATTTCTGTGATCTTTATTGATTTTTTTTTCTTCTTCTTTGATTAGATTGTGTATTCGTTTCACCTTAAATATTGATTAATTATAAATTAGGCTTCTAAAATTCTTATTTCTATGATAACAATGTTACTTTCATGTTTCTGATGTAATTGACTTATTCTCTTTCATATTAGTACATCAATAAGGAAAGATCGATGGAGAGAGAGAGAGAGGGGGAGGGGGGAATCGAGAACATTTACTCCATGAACTGAGCAAATGAATTCAATAATACTTTTGATCCTTATATTAATGTATGTTGATGATTTGCTCACTGTCTAATATATATATATATCTTCATAGTTGTTTATAGTCTTAATTACTGCTGAATAAAATTTCACTTAGAAACTGTATAAAATACGTACTTATGTAAAGAAGAAGAAGAAAAAAATCGTTATTCTTGTAATTTACAAACACCTATCCACCCACCCACCCACTCACGCACACATACACATACATGACAACAATATTTATACCCATTTGATTAAGATTTTATTAAAGTTGTAATGTTTTATAGTTTTCTTTATATCACTGTCTACTTTTTGTGTTTTCCATGAGGTTTACTTTTCTACTTCGGTCCATCATTTCGATCTTTTATTTATTCTGTTCTCTTGTTGTTGTTGTCATTCTACACTTTCTCTTGTACAAAACAATCAAGAAGAGAGAAAAGAAAAAAAACAAATAACTGAGAGAAAAGACAATTCAATGATAGAATTGAAATTACCCCCCCCCCCCCGCCCTTACCTTCCGCTACGTATACATTACGTATGTGATTCCATTCATTCCAATATCATTGTTATAATGCCTATTAACCTATTTTAATGCTTATAACCTGTATTCATATAAATCATTTTCATTGTATGTGTTAAATACAAGATATTTAGTTGCTATGGTTAGTCTAATCTAACATTGTTTCATCATTTAGAAATAGGGTATACTAATCTTGCGAAATCTTAAAAGGATTATCGTTCATTGTTCTGTACCTGATTGTTGATGCTAGTCGATTGGAACAGATTCTTATGATATGAAGATACTATTTCTGTCAGAATGTTACTTCAGTATTCTCTTTTAGTAACTATACAAATGAATAGTTTGAAGTTCAGTCAGTCAGTAACAACGTGGAACTTCGTACGTACGTACATCGGTTCGAGTTGCCACACCATATTAACACAGAGATACAATTGCCGATTCAAATCCCGTAGTGGTAGAGGTGGTAAGAGTATTAGCAGTAATCGAAAAGATTAGAGTTTGAAGATGTTATTTAAAAAGTATTTTTACTGATCCTTCAAATATTCCACATTTAGTAAATAGTTGTCTGACCAATAGAATTTGAAATTCCTAATCTTTCTATCTGACTGTCATTGTTTAGTAGTATTCACCCATGACTCCATCAGAAATAAACCTCAGATTCACTTGCCCCCAAATGCCTTGATACGTCCGAGAGTGGGGAGAGTCCGCTCTCCTTCTCCAAATGCTCTCACATCGCCACGCGTATATAGCCTCTGACAAGGATGTTCTACTCATTGCCTTCTCGTGGCCACAGTGTTGTTTACCAAAATGAGAGGACGAAAAGCGAATGTCCGGTGCTTTAACCGGATCCCAAACCAATGGTGCACATGTGCTCCAGTATCCTGAGAGAACAATGGCGTATGAATTAATTGTTGGTGACCGGTTACCATGGGACTGCATCTCCTGATGTTGCTCCACTATCTCATGGATCAGACCTTCAGGTTGAAGGCTCGGGGTGTGGCCCGCTAAGAAAACCACCTGCTTCAGTTTGGGCACCCGGGTAGTATCACAGCCTTCACACGTATCGAATGAGATTTGTGTGGTTTATATGTATATGGTGCCCTCTTGTACCAATATTTGTGTGTTAAAATAAATAAAATCAGATTCACTGGGCTAAAACAACATTTCAACGTACTTTATTTTTCAATAATTGTCTGTATACAGTCAACACAAAATACAAAATCCCAAGAGAATAATCTCCACAATACTATATTAACTGTAATTCCTTACCCTGTGCCAGTAATCAAACAAAGCATGGATAATATCCACGTGTTATCGGTTACTCATGAAAGTTATTTATTAAGAATAGTCTTTAGAAAGATTACTTGAATAAGATGTATTTACAGCTGTACACCTTTTAAATAATTTTGATTTCAAGAGGCAACTTCATTTACTACAAAAATATTATCTTATAGTATCACCTTGTATTATAGCCTACAGACTGACTGTATTTTTTAAATGGGCAAACGATACTAGAAGCACTGAACGGCTGTTTCGTCTTATTGTGTGACTCCTCGGTAGTCCGCTTGCGGCATTCGAACCCATGTGCTCACTAGTGACTAGCTTCGTGACGGAATTCTCGGAGTTCTAATGAGAAGCCATGACCAGTGGAGCTAGCCTATGTCATGTAGAGACACGTATCTACCTCAGTACAATGGAAGATGGTCGCTCATTTTCGTGCATTGGTTGTAGTAAGACATTAACATCGTCGGATACTGACTCAGTGGTCTAGAGGTTAAGCATTCGCACTCAAGAACGAAGGCCTTAGGTTCAAGTCCCGCAAGCGGGATCATGGATGCACACTACTGAAAAGTCCCACAATAGGATGAGATGGCCGTTTAGTTATTCCAGGTTTTCAATGGTGGTCTAACCAATCGATTAATGATCTCAATCGAAAAACTGAATAATTTCCACAACCTTATGCTGAAACCGATACCAGCATTGCACGCAACAAGTCTTTGTTAAGCTTTAAGCACTTCGATATAACTCTTAAGATATTTCAAAAATTTACTATTTCGACTAATATAATATAAATTAAAAATGAAATCTTTGAAAAAACAAAGACCATACCGAATAGTTTCCATAATGTGATAATGTACATGAATAATCTATAAGTAGCATTGATACTCAGAAATGGGATACAGGGTTTTAATGGTTAATTATTCATATTACAACGTTATGTAACTGATGAATGTCATGCAATCTCTGATTGGTAAAATAACTAATTTATTATTTTTTTCGATTGAGATCATGAACCGATTGATGTTAAACCACTATTAAAAACCTGGAAGCACTGGACGGCCGTTTCGTCCTATTGTGGGACTCCTCAGTGACAGTGCTCATCCACGACCCCGCCTCGTGGGATTCGAACACAGGGCCTTCAGTCTCGCGCGTGGACGCTTAACCTACTGGACCGCTGAGCCAGCCGGCATCCAATGCATGGTGTTAATGTCTAACTTCAACCAATCCACGAAGTTGCGCGACCATCTTCCATTGTACTGAGGTATACACCTGTTTCTACCTGACACGGATTAGCTCCACTGGTCACGGCTTCTCACCAGAACTCCGAAAATTCCGTCACGAAGCTAGTCACTAGTGAGCACATGGTAATTATCAGTTTACGGGTTGTGGAGATTGTTAAGTTTATTCCACTACAAAATATAAGTAGTATCTTGAATTAAGTGAAATTTTCTAAACATTACGAACTTTACTATTCGCTGACCATACATAATGATATAAAGGGAACAATGTCCAAAACTTCAAATATTAGTTAAGTAAATATAGAAAATCGTATTCTTACAAATCCTCACCCAATTAAATTACTTAAGAAAGCTTCAAATAGTTCATCTCTATGAAATAGCGATACATACATCATTGTAAACTTGCATATACATTCAACTGCGAATTATGTCTGACTGATGAGCGATTAAAATAACTAAAGCTGAGCCAAGTTATATCGATTGATCATCATTGTTTTAAATGAATAGTGTTACATGGATTACGATCGTAATAAGTAGTATACATTATTAATTTAAGTTCATCAAACTCAATATAAAATAACTTAGCCTTTTGAGTAATTGTAAAAAATACTCAAACTCTTTAGCAATTTGACAATTCTGGAAGATCTCTAACACTTAACTAATACCATCATAAAGATCTCAATTAAAATGTTTTACACCTATTTACACTACTAAAAACAGTTGATTAAGCGCCTAGTGCATGACTGATAGGTCCTGGGTTCGAATCTCGCCGGAGGCGGGGTCGTGGATGAGCACTGTCACTGGAGCGTCCCACAATAGGACGAAATGACCATCCAGTGTTTCCAGGTTTTCCATGGTGGTCTAGCTTCAATTGATTCATGATCTGAACTGTTGAAAAACAGAATATTTTGATTGTGATCATGAACCACGTAATGCTAGATTACCATTGAAAACCTGGAAACACTAGACGTCCATTTCATTCTATTGTAAGTCTCCTCAGTAGTGCACATCTATAATCTCGCCTCATAAGATTCAAACCCAAGGTCTTCTACTTCATTTCAAGTTAGTTAGTTACTTATTAAATACTATAAATAATCCAGTTACTCAAAATTATACAACTACATCGACTCCCTTACCTGGAATTTAATACTTCAATACATATTTCATCACTTTGTACATCCATAAAACGTTGAAATAACGAACTGATCAATTGTTTATATTATCTCTATTATAGTTACTTACGGAGATAGCAAGTTATATTCTTCTTAAAGGGACTTATTAAATCATAAGTATCATGATTAATTTTTATTCTTATATAATCCCAGCTTGAACTTAACCAAGTATATACTTGAACCTATAAACCTATTCATTTGTATAAACAAATGAGAAGAAATGAAAAAAAAGGAAATCTTCCAAGGAATTATTTATTATCCTTTCTTAGTGGATAAACAAATAGATTTGGCTTCACTTGGTATTGTTTGGCTTGTATCTTCCCATTGAGGTTTAAGACTGCAATGGCATCTGAAGCGAATAGTACTGGGTTCGAGTCCCAGAGGGAACATCCACTCTGAGATGCAGGTACATCCAGTTGATGAGTCCCAAATAGGACGAAACGCGCGTCCTGGATTTCACTGCTAGTCACTATCCGTCGTTGCTTACAAAAATATTTGGCTTTATATTTATACACCTAACTTTCAGGTTTCATATCAAATGTAAACGATTTTAATAGATTGAGAATACTAAGATAGCTTAAAAACATCATCGATAAATAAGAAGGATCAGATACAGACATCAAAGGCGAAGATTGGCAAATCAATTGAAGAATATATGGAACTCAAGACAACTGTTAATTAATATTAAAGTCACAATCTTCAATACGAATATCAAGACATCGCTATTGTACAGAGCTTAAACTTCGAGAACTACTACAACATCATCAAGAAGGTGCGAGTATTATAAATAGTTGTTAATGCAAGATATTCAACGTCCATTAGCCGGATACCATTGAAGAGTAAATTAGGAAAAGATGATGGACATGGGTAGGACATACATTACGGAAATCATCAAACTGCACCATGAGGCAAGCCTCAACATGGAATCCTGAAGGGAATCGGAAAATAGGAAGGTGAAAGAACACATTACATCGGGATATAGAATCAGATATGAAAAGGATGAATAACAACTGGAAAGAGTTGGAAAGGATTGCTTAGGACAGGATTGAATGGAGAGTACTGGTTGGCGGCCTATTCTCCTCCACGAGGAGTAGTAGGCATAAGTAAGTAAGTAAGTTAAAAATAATTCCAAAAGTAAGATTATAACATCGTTTAAGAATAAAATGTTCTGATGAAACTTTTTAACTAACTGGTTTGGATGCTTAAAACTGTTTAGCAGCTCAATACTAAGAAGAAACATGTTCCAATGTCCTTAATTTTTAATGAGCATCTCTAACTCCTATCTATTTGTGATATTCAATATCTTTCATATTGATAACCAGACAATAGACAACAGATATACACACATCCACATACATGGTCATACGCAATCCTCATCGAATGTCTATGTCACAGTGAAGTTTAACGAAATACCAACTAAAAGATTTTTAAACAATCTACTCTCCTGAGTACATAACTAAAATATCCAAGTGAATGTTATTTTGCTAGAGTCATATTAGTAATGAATGAGTTATAACAAATGTTTGTAGCGGCCTGTTTGAACATCTGAGCTACCTGTTCCTACCATTGATCTAAATATGTCAACATGTTATCTAATTCGGATGTTTGTTTAAATACACATCATTATTGGCTATTCATCGCATAGCCTAATTCGGATGAGTTTCTCAGATGTGTACAACCTTTCGTTGTACAAGTTACAAAAGATCTAATCAGAGATATTGTGGTTACTGATAATATGCAACGAAATGAATGTACATTGTTCAGATGTCGATTGACTGGACTACTAACTTCTAACTGGTGGTTACTCAATATGTTATCGTCAAGATGAATCAAGAAGAAGTAAGAAATGAGAAACTTGTTGAAATACTTTTGTGTTGAGAATTCCATATTGTACGAAAAATATAATAATGAATAAAGATAATAAAAACAATAATAATCTAGTAATAAGGTAGAAAATTAAACTATCATTATGAAATTGTTATCATCGGGGTCGATTATAACACTAATCTAATTATTTGTCCCTAGATTCAACTACTGAACTGTGATATAAATGTTGTTGTCTCACATACTTACTTAACTTTTTACGCCTGTTACTCTCGATGAAGCATAGGCCGCCGACCAGCATCCTCCAACCCACTCTGTCCTCCACCTTCCTTTCCAGTTCTGTTCAATTTTTGTTCATTCTTCTCATATCTGTCTCCATTTCTTGGCGTAATTTGTTCTCTGGTCTTCCTCTTTTCCTTTGGCCTTGAGGATTCCATGTGAGGACTTGTCTTGTGACGCAGTTGGGTGATTTCCTCAATATGTGTCCAATCCACTCTCAGTGCTTCTTCCTTATTTTGTCCTCCATCGGGATCTGGTTTGTTCTCGCCTACAGTAGATTGTTACTAATAGTGTCTAGTCAACGGATCCGAAGTATTTTGCGTAGACAACTGTTAATAAATACTTGCATCGTCTGAATGATGGCTTTCGTAGTTGTCCAACTTTCCGCCCCATACAATAGAACTGTCTTGACATTTGTATTGAAAATCCAGACCTTGGTGTTGGTTGACAGTTGTTTTGAGTTGCAGATGTTCATCAGTTGTAGATGTGTTGCTCTTGCTTTGTCGATCTGCGCCTTCACATCTGCATCAGATCCACCATGTTCATCAATGATGATGTCCAAATATGTAAGGGATTTTACATCTTCAAAATCTTCTTTGTCAAGTGTGATTCGACCGTTGAATGATGTGTTGTAACGGAGAATCTTGCTTTTTCCTTTGTGTATGTTGAGACCTACTGCTGCTGAGCTTACTGCTACACTGATGGTCTTCTCCTGCATCTGTTTTTGCGTGTGCGATAGAATAACCAGATCATCTGCGAAATCTAGGTCGTGTAGCTGCATCCTAGCTGTCCACTGTATCCCATGTTTCCCCTTAAATGTTGACGTCTTCATAATCCAGTCGATTACCAGGAGGCACAAATTGTTGCTGTCAGCATTGGTATAGTATTGAATTGATTCCAAGTATAGTTTGAGGAAAATTGTTCCAACTTTAAAGTGAAATCTCTTTTCCAAACATTAACAGTTGTAAATTTTAATTTATGTGCATTAGGATAATATGGGAATATTTCACAGACTTCGATATTCCGTTGTTTGTTCTAAACCTTTACAATTAGTTTCTTATACTTGTAATCCTTTATTCCATTATGACCATTATGTTACGGTTAGACTTGAATATAATCTGTACATATGAAGTTTGTATAGTTTAATTTAAGAAATAGGAACTTGTAGAGATCAAGACAGCCGCTATCTCCCAATGAGAGTGAAAATTTAATTTCCAAATACTCAGTCAGTCAGTCAGTCAGTTACAACGTATGACCAGGCACATTTAGGTATTGGTCCAAGTTGCCATACCTCATTAGCACAGTAAGATGAACACCGAATTCATAAAAGTAGTTAATTCAATGGATGTAATGTATATAAAAGAAACATTGTATATAAGTATACAGTATAGGAATAAAGAATTAGTTGGTTGGTAGAAAGAAAGATATGAAGTGATTTTAATCTCATAGTTTAAGGGAAGACAGAGAGTGTATACACCGACGCCATTCTGATCGATTCTGAGTCTGGTCACCCATAGTCTCTAACCGTTGGTTACGATAGTCACGCAGACCACAATCAAGTAGTCTGCATCTACCAACATGGCTCAGACTAGAAGTAAGTGACTTTAAGGACTAATGCCGTGTTCGTTTGGCCGCCCCTCACATTTCCTACTACTGATGATGTAATAATAATACAATTTCTTATTCAATTTTAGGTAACATGACTTAGGTATCATTTACATAAATGATGATACATATTGAACAGTGAAAAACACATAGAACTTTATACGTTTCCAATTCTTTTAAATAAAATTCATGGATTGGGTGAAGTTAGACATCATCAACACCGCTGGATACCAAATCAGCGATTAAGAGTTTGAGCGTTCGCGCGCAAGACCGAAAGGTCCTAGGTTCGAATATCGCAAGCGGGATCATGGATGCACATTGCTGAGGAGTCTCGCAACAGGACGAAATAGGTGTTCAGTGTTTCAAGGTTTTTCATAGTTCTAGTTGTTCATTTCATTTTACATAGACTTCATCTATCAAATGAGTTATGATACATTTCATCATTTTAATGAGGAAGATATTAAAATGGTTTTACTTTGGATTGGTTAAATATGTTTGAGGAAAGAGAAACATTATTCTCTCTCCCTCCCTCCCTCCCTCCCTACCTACCTACCTACTTACCTAAATAAAGTAATATCTATGTAACACAATTTTACTCAATCACAATCAATGTTTGTTTGTTTTCATCTGTTATAACCAATCAAAATATCGGACAGTTTATATAGGAATAGGATAAAATGTTGAATAGGAATGAAGTTTGTTCTTCATAGATAACTCTTTCTTCATTCATGATGATGACGATGATGAAGATGAGATCGTTCAACTTGGCAAAAATTATTTCATTGTTATTATTCAGTTATTTATTAATTATTTCTGTACAAGGAGTCGTTATACCAGAGGTAAGTTTACAAATTATTTCTAATGAATAGTCTCTATGTAACAATATTATTGACCAATTCATTCTTAGCACCCAATATAGTTATAATCCTGATTCATATTGAACATTGAATTGTTCTTTTTTTGTTTGTTTTTGTTTCTAAGTATATAAACAAACTAATCAAACTATATATACCTCCCCCCCCCAGTTGATTCAATGTAAAACTACAACTAAGAAATGGTATAGAAAGATTATGATTAATAGTAGAATCCAAGATGTATGTTTCGTCCAAATGTATGTATGAACTCATCAGCTGGATTTAATTGAGTTTTAATATGGAAACTGTAAATTAATGCTTTGTACTTCCTCGCCCCCCCCCAAATAAATACTGACAAATACATTTGAATAAATTAAAAATAGAAACTTTATTATAGTAGGTTTACATATTTGAAACTAATGTCTTCATTCACTTAGTGTTATTGAACTTGTCTCTTCTCATTGTTATTAAAGGCTGCAATTGATTAGTCTCTTGTTGGTATATATGCATCTGTGTGGATTGCTTCGATATAGCCTTAATTCATAAGCTTTATTTTAAGTAAAGATGGAGAGTGACTAGGAGTGAAATTCAGTTTGATGCATGTTTCTTTCTATTTGACATTCGTCAACTGGATGTACCTGGATTCCAGAGTTGATGTTCACTCTGTGACTCGAACCCAATACTGTTCGCTTCAAATATTTTGATATTTTGAGCAGACCTCTTATGGAATATATGTAATGGTCAGAATACTAATGAATCAATAATTGTAAACATGTTAGATGAATAGATAGATGAATAAAATTTACAGAATCATTCAATCATTGAACTCATTGAATATTCTATGAATTCATTTCAATGTTCTTAATAATAAGACTGTGTATGTTTAACAATGTTAAGATCAAACATTGACTTAGTATGTGCATTAAGAGATTTCAAAAAGTTTTTATTTGATGAAAATAGTATAAACATGAAATTTGCTACTTCATGTAATGTTAGTTCCTTTATTGAAATCATCAGCTTACTTACCTACTTACTTAGTCCTGTTACTCTCAATGGATCATAGGCCGCTGACCAACATTCTCCATCCCACTCTATCCTGGGCCATCATCAGTTTACTATTAGGTATTGCATCACTCAATTGATAAGTAGTATATCCATAATTGAAAACAAACAACCTATATGTACATAGTATGACTATAATAGATGACACATCTAACTTATATCAAAATACATGACTAATTAACGGATTACTTTTTTTATAAGTTCGTTAAACTTTGATAGTACAATGTGAACATTTTACAATCATTCTAAATGTCCATGATTCGAATCTCGTGAGACAGGATCGT